ATGTGGGTCACCTCCCTGGCTGGATAACTTCATAGTGCTGAGACTCAGCTGCTTGTGCCACCAGGGAAGCCCTAAACTTTTAAATGGCCAACCACTGCTTCAGTTACAGACAGCTATAGTCAGTCCTGTGATACTTCCACACAATTACTTTACTTTTCCCATTTCTCTAACGAGACTTTTCTGGGGCTACCCCAACAGGTTTGCCCCCACACTAACCACCAAAATTATGTCTTCCAGCCCCCTCCCTTAGTGCCTCAACCACACCAACATGCCTTGTGTGACAGGAAGTGGGGCCTGTCAGTGTTCCTACTCGAGACCTCAGATCATTTCAAGGTTCGCTGCCAGATGTGACAAAGGATGGAAATGGTGACAGCTGAATATGGTTGGCCACAAATACCATGGTATTTGAGTCAAAATGAATAAAAGGGACTGGAAAATTTTCCAACCCACTGTTCACCTCTCTAGAGGCTGAGGAGGAGAATGGCTATTGCAGCATCGCTGGGAGCTGCATGAGACAAACTGGAGCCCTGGAGGGGTGCTGCTTCCCTGGCAGTTAGCAAGCCACTGCCACTCCCCAACTTCCCCAGGCACCCAAAAGGTTAAGGAAGAAAAACTCCTGCAGAGCAGAAGGAGATCAGTCTTCCTCCCTCTGACTGCCACTGAAGCAAAGTAGAAGCTAAAATTGTAGCCACCCGCTCTGTGGGTTGCACACTCCTACTCCCATCACTGACCCCAGGCCTGGGCCTGAGCCCAGCACGTGTGCCAGGAGCAAGGGCGGGGAAGAGGGGGTGTTGGTCTTGCTGACAAAATCCATTTGGAATCTCTCAAGGTTGTGGTTTGGGCCTTAAGTTTGCCACAGTGTCTCTGACGAAAGAACAGAAAAAGCTAGAAAGAGGGAACTAAAGGAAGTCTCGAAGAAAACAGAGAAAAGCTGAAATATTCTTGCTCTGACTCCACTGGAGTTTACCCTCCTCTTCCTGGGAGTGAGAAATTCCCATTCTGGACATTCCTTATCATTGTCTCTCATATCCTATGTCTATTCAGGCTCCATCCCTTCCTTCCCCACCCCACCCCCCAATCCACACACTAGGCTCAGCCAGTGTCCAAAGTAAGGTTGAGCTATCGGTATAAAAATCAAACCCCAGATTCTCAACGCTCAAATGGAAGTTAGGTCCATAACAATTTGCCTAACGTGCTGCCCTGACCGGAGACTCCACAAAATGCCCTTGCTATCCTGGTGCTACCATCATTTCACTTGACCTTCAGGGGAAATGGTAGCACAGCTCTTGCTGTGGTGTGGAAAGCCAAGGAGACGGCCTATTAAGAGTCAGTGTCTTGCAACCCCATAAACGTCATTTAGAAAGTGTTAAATGTATGATCTGTATCCCTTTTCCAAATCAAAGATAATGGTTTGTTTTCAAAGCTATTGGCCTAGAAATTAAAAGACTGGAATAAGAGAAATTCTGCTTACTCTAGTTATGCTTATCTCCTAAAAGGTATTTTACTAAAATTAAATGCAGAAGAGCTCTGAATAAGGAAGGACAAAATAGAGAAGCAATTTAGTGGGAGAACATGTTGGTGTTGCTGGTTTCCAGAGCAAGCTAAACTCCCTAGTTTCTTTTGTTTTCCCTTTGTTCCTATGTTTGCCCGTCTTCACATTACCCCCCAAGTTCTCTGGTTTGGAAACAAAGACAAAAACACCTGCTGTTCTGGGTCCAAGTTCAGTGCTGAGATACAGTCAGAACCTGAAAACCCCAGAACAGAGGTGACCTTACTGTACAGGGCAGGGATGAACCCACTGTCCAGAGGACTAAATCTATTCTTGTAGTCTGTATCTGTGAATTAAGTTTTATTTGACACAGCCATGCGCATTTGCTTATAGATGGCTGATGGCTGCTTTTTGGTCTACAACAGCAGAGTTGAGTAATTATGGCAGAGTTGAGTAGTTGCGAAAAAGTCTGCAAGCCTAATATATTTACTATCAAAACCTTTACAGGGGAGGAGGGGAAGTCAACCCTTGTTCCAGGTGGTGCCCAAGGTGAAATCTAGCCTTGAGTAAACGGGGCCTAGGTTTAGCTCTCTAGTCCCTCGTTGTCTAGGGGTCCCCCCTGGTTTTTCATATTAAAAGTTGCCAAATAAGTAGCGGAGATCATTTCAACTCCTCTGTGAAACCACTGAGATATACATGAGTGTAGGGTCATTCACTGGACAAGAAGCCATGAACTGGGACTCCACGTGTGAGCAGAAATATCACCATCTGAATCCACTGGTCCAGTAACTTAATTTATTTTAGTTACAAATAGGAACCAAGAACAAGTCTCAGTACAATAAATTATCCCCATGCCTTCTGCAGGAAAAAAGAAAAGGAGGCTCAGAGAGTCTTAGGTAAAACTCTTCCCTTAGAGGGTTCCTTTTACATCTAAATGGGAGGAAGACAGCTTCCCTAAAGGGCCTGAACTGAAGACTGACTCCCTGGAGGGAAAAGCACCCCAGCACCTCTATCACTGTCCCATTGCCCCCACCAGAGGGAGTCCAGGCTGCAGTGGAGGGAACAGCCAACAGGAGTGGGTCCTCTTTTTCATGATACAGGTTTAAGGCTTCCCCCAAGCCTGAGCCATCTCTCAAAGGAGATGAGTGGTCAAACTCTAGGGCCTCCCAGCCTGAAGGACAATGAACCCCAGAGCTGGGAGAAGGGAAGAAATACAGTGTAGTTCGTCTTAGTTCTTTCAGGTTCTTCAGGAGCAAAAGAGGGGTGGCGGCTTCTGCCCAAAGTCCCTCTCCCGCGGATGAGAAGGCTACCTGTCAGACTTCCTACGTGTGCCAAGGTGTTCCCAGGTGAATACTCTGAGTGTCCAGGGGCCAAGACTGATTGTGGGGGCGGAGGGGGAAGCACAGAGCAAAAGGCTGCACCCTGCTCTTTCCCGCGCACGTGAGGCTGAGCCCTCACTTGCACACGTTGACCCACTCGGTCACCTTGCACTCCTCACACAGCACGTAGCAGCACCAGTGGAAGCGGCAGTGACAGCGCTCCACTCGAGTCTGCCGCAGCACGTTGTGTCCGCGGCCACAGCACAGGCTGCCACAGCCGTCCAGCAGGCGGCTGGTCTTGTTGCAAGCCCGGCCTCTGGTGCCCGGGGAGCCCACCGCCGAGTCTCGCTCGCAGAAGTCAGGAGACTTCTCAAAGTAGACCAGCTCCCCGGAGAGGCGCCGCGGACGCAGGCGGGGTTGGAAGGCTCCAGAATTGCGGTTATGGGTGTCGATGAAGATGGCCCTGCTGAGCCGCTCCCTCAACGCTGCCCCCACTGCCCGGAACTCCGGGGCCGCCCGCCAGCAGGTCTTGAACTGGCAGCTGCCTGAGGTGCCGTGACACTTGCATTTCCGCTTCAGGTTTTCAGTTACCACCTAGAGGGTCATGGGGAAGAGGTGAGAGGGAGGACAGCAAATGGACAAAGAGCAGAGGCGCAGGAGAGAGGAGCCACAGAGGCCAGGATGACCCCAGTTATGGGGAGAAAGTGCTCTGCCAGGTTGGCTGTTCCCTAGCACCCTCACTTTCTGGGGAAGGGAAGCCAGAGCGAGGAGATTTGTTTGTCTTCGGTCACTGGCTCAGTGACTCCACTCCGTGGGTAACGGTAGTAGCAGGACTCAACTCCAGTTGTTCTGACTCCCAGTCTTTCCAGAGTGAGCAGGTTAAAATGGAAGTCTGAGCCACACTACCCCGGAATTCGGTAGGTCAGACACCTATAATAACAGCTACCTTGTAATGAGCCCCTGCCAAGGGCTAGATACTCTGTCAGGTGCCATTTGCTACCTCGCTCTCTCTTGATGTAACATAGGTTTCATTAGACTTTACAGAGGCAAAACTGAGGGTGAGTGACTTGCCCCAGGCCAGCCAGATGGGGAGGGCAATGGCATCCTCTGCAGATCCTCTCCTACTCCAGCCAGGCCTCAAATGCTAGGGAGACCCAGAACAAGTTGCACCACGTACCTGACGCCCCACTCTGTTGTTGTGGATTCGCATTCGTGCCTGGATGTCCCGAGGAGCTTCCCTGGAATCCAAGAAATCCCGAGAGAACTTCTCTCCAAAGTCCATGTCATGGTTGCAGCCACCCCATTCCCATGTGTCCTGGGGGCCCGGGCTGGGGCCTGAGCCAGGGCCAGGGCTGGGCAGGGAGTGAGGGAAACTCTTGCCCCGGGACAGTGCCTGCAGCTGCAGCAACTTGGCCCGCAGCCGATCCTGCTCGCCACTGCCCTTCCAGCCGCAGCTGCAGCTTACCAGCTTGCCCAGGCTGCAGGCTGTGGCCACCGCGTGCATGACCCCAGCGGCCAGCATGGAGAAGGAGAAAGCACTCTCACGGAAACCTGGGGGTGAAAAGGGTGGGAGGGTGGGCCGGTTGACACAGCTGAGAAGGCGAGCAGGAGAGCAACCTCTACTTCCAATACCAGAAATTCCTAGCTGAATCCTGCCCCTGCCATTTACCAGCTGAGTAACTGGGGAGCAAATCTTGAGAGAAAGTGGGACTAGAAAGCACAGAGCCTCAGGGTCCTCCCTGGCGGTGCAGGGGATTAGAGCACAGCACTAAGAAGCTAAAGCTTCAGCATGAGTTCAATCCCCGCCCCTGACCAGCCCGCTGCTCCTCTCAGCAGTGGACTTCAGCCTGTTCTGCTCCCCCACTCTGTCTCTGGGGAATCCTCTCACTGCCCTGCATCTCTGGCTTGGACCCCAGTTCTGCATGCATAAATAAGTAAATCTTTAAAAAAAAAAAAAGCACAGAGCCTCAGTTTTCTCATCTATAAAGGGAGAGGATGGGTGAGCAGATCTCGGAGGCCTCTTCTCTGTAAATCTGGGATTTTCAGGTGTAGATGAAAGAGCTTGCCTAGGCCTAGCGGGAAAGACCCCTGCGTGTGGGCGATGACTAAGAGGGAATCCCTGAGATCTTTGAAGATGTGTTCACTGAGCTCTACATCTGAAAGCCTTAAAAATCCCCCAGTCCTGCAGGGAGCTTGGGCAGGGGCAGGGTGAAAACAGAGGCCTTTGGGATACTTTTCTTTTTTTTTTTTTTCCCCCTTCAGGTTATGTTACTCAGTCCCTCAGCCATTCTGCCCTCCAACATCTCAGCACCCCCAAAGCACTGAGGAGCTGTCCTATCCCTTTCCAGTTTCTAGTTTTATATTTGCCCTTCAAGACTGCCCTTTATGTTTATCCTAACCTGCTATTACTCTATAAAACCCTGGGAGGGGGAGAGAGGTGGAGTGATTTTCCCTAAGGCCCTCTTAAAATGTTGACTTCTTTGTTATGTTTTGGGGGGTCACCGAGGCTCAGGATGACAGGCCTTTCTCAGGCTTAAACAGACACCATTCTCATGTGGGTGTCAAAGCCTTCTCCCCTGCCAGGCCCTGTGGAGAAAGAGGGGGTCTCTGACTTCCTTTTAGGTGGGGGCTCAGTGCAGCCCAGAGAGAATGAGAGACAGTACCTCCTTAGGGGTCAGGCCTCTTCCACCCCAGGATGCAGGGCTCCTGGCCCAGCCTCCTGATCCCCCCAACCCCAAGCCTCCAGGGGTGAAGCTGTTTGCACACGTCTTGGGAATTCCCCCGCATGGCAGCTGCCTATTAACCCTATAGTCCCCAAGTACTGCCCCCACCCTTGAGTTGGGCATGGGATGGATCTTTATTCCTCCCAGGAGTAAATTTGGGCATAGCCTGGCAAGGGGCAGTGATGTCTCCCAGGCCATGCTTCCCAGGCCAGGCCCCAAATGACCTGTTCTCAGCCCCTCCAACCACCCCTCACCTGCTCAGGTGAGAGCCACCTGGGGCCCCCACAGCAGAGAGGAGGGGGCTGCTCCCCAGCTTCAAAGCCATCAGGGTCTTTGTTCCCAGCTTTGGCTCCTGGGAACCCCGGCAATTAGGGGAGTAGGTTTAACCCTTAAACGGTCGGGGGCGTCACCCCACCCCCGCTGAGGCTCTAGGGATGCCAGTCTGGGCTTGTCCCCAGGAGAGGGAGGGGGAGGCAATTGGAGTAGGTGGGGGGTGCGTTTGAAACTTTCTGGACTGGGGGCATCGCTTGCTCACAGGTGCAAGCCAGATCGAGCTGGGAGGAGGCGGGAAAGAGGGGCCCTAGGGTAGGGCGCAGAGACCCAGCTGCCTTGCCAGCGCGCAGGTGGAAGTCAGCAGCACCCAGACAAGCGGCCCGACCCAGCTCAGAGCGGCTCCCAGGGGGAATTCCCACAGAGGCCCCTCCCCAAGTCGTGGGCCTGCCCCTTCCCTCCTCCGTGGCCCCTGCCCCCACCCCCCAGCCCCAGCGGGGCGCTCAGACGCGCGGTCCGCTCACCCCGCTTGAGGATGGCGCTGTGGTGCGGCAGGCGGCCGCCGCCCTCGAGCGCCGAGCAGTTCCAGCGCTGGTCACGCAGCTGATGCTGACACTCGTGGACGGCGATGTGCAGGCCCTGGAGCGCCGACGCCGTCACGTCGGGGCTGCGCAGACACAGGCCCAGCTGCCGCTTGCTCAGACCCGACAGCGTCAAGCACACGGTGTTGGCGGTCAAGGCCGGCTCTCCCGGCAGCTTCAGGCCCAGAATCTCATTGCTGAGGGCCCTGGGACCAGAGAAGCTGGCTGAGGGTGTCTGCCCCAAGCCTGGGGACCCCTCGGGCTCCTCCGCCACCCAGGGTGGGTGCTTCTACCCCGACTTCCCTTCTCTACCCCCTGGGGGACTCCTCACCGACTGCACAAGACCAGCAACAGAAGACCCGCCAGGCCCCAGGGCAGCGGCCGTGGCCAGGGCTCCTCCGGCATGGGCATGTCCAAGCCCCCACCCGAGAGCCCGGGTGGGCAGGTTGATCAGGGCCTGCGGGACAGAGAGACTTAAGGACACTTCTGAGTAGAGTGGTGTCCCCCAAGACCCCCAGTCCAAGGATGCCCAGCTTCAGCCTCCTCTCTCTCCACTGCCCCTGGCCTTTCTCATCCTTCCCCAAACAAAACAAGAATCACCTCTTGATTCCCCAGAGTCCCTGGGCCCTAGAGGAGAACCCACAGGGCAGCTGAGCCTTCTGTGAGGTCTCACAGCCCAGCAGCCAGACACTCACATGCAAATCCAGACTCAAACTCCAGCTGGCAGTGGCCGCCCAGTGCCCACCGCTCTGGCTCCAGGGCCCCACCACCCGCTTCCCTGCCTGGCACAGCTCCGTGCCCTCACAGAGCTAGGCGGTGTGATGAGGAGGGGGTGCCGGACACCGACAGTTGAGGGGGTGGGGACTGTCGCTTCCAGGTGCCTGTGGAGTGCAGGCAGCGGGCAGCGTCCCTAAGAAGGGTGGATGAACCAGGCTCTGGGCTGGAGGCAGAGCAGAGAAGCCAGGTGTGGCAAAGGCAGGGACGGACCTGGCTCCCACCTGAATGGGACCAAGGGCAGGTGCTCGCTCCCACTTCCTCCGCCTTGCCCAAGACGCGACCCCGCCTGCTGCGGTCCCCCACCAGGTCCCCGCAGGTTCCCCGCCTCAGCCCCACCCCTCTGCCCGGCTGTTGGGGCCCTCGGTCCGGGCTCTCCTCCACTGGCTCTGGTTATCTCTGGCAATCTCTGCCTCTCTCTGCATCTCTGTGCTGCTGTGGGCGGACGCGTGTCTGCGTCTGGCTGTGGAGTCCCGACTTGTCCCGGAGTGTGCAGGCGACCCTCCCGCTCCCGTCTCGGGTTACCTCCAGCTGCTCGGGCTCGGTCGGACACCAGTGGGGTTGGGTCGCCGGGACTCGGCCGGGAGCTCACACCGCAGGGAGGCTGCGTCGGGCTTGGCCCCCACGGCAGAGCTGCATTCTTCCAGGGCAGGGCCACTCCTCTCTGCCGCCGGGAGGAAGGGAGGGAGGAAGGGAGGGAGCGATCCAGAAAGCCAGGGAGCCGGTAAGCAGCGAAAAGGGGCTCCGGTCTGCTCGCGCCCAGCGACGGACGGGTGTCTCTGCCACAGCTGACGGAGCGGCGGCCCCTCCCCAAGCCCCGGGCATCCCCCCCCCGCTCCTCTTCCCCCCACCCCTGCCGTGACCCAGAGATTGCAGTTGCTCCCCCTCCTCCCAAAGTACACACACCCTCTCCCCAGACACCCCGTCGGGGCTCAGCCCCACTGAGGGGGGAGGAGACTGGAGTCCCTCTCACCTGCTCTGGGATGACCGGGGCTGCCAGGGGGGCGCGCTGACCCCAAATGGGGAGCCAGAAACTCGCCCAACAGTCAGCTCTCTCATTGTTTCTCTTTGCCTCAGTTTTCCCACTGAGAACAGGGCAGCTAGCGCAGGCCTTTGAAAAGATGAAGCTGAGGTCGGGCAGAACAGCGGGCAGAGGGGTGGGGCTGAGGCGGGACCTGCGGCACTGAATGGCACAAGTCGCCCCTCACCCGAGTACGGGGCAAAGCTAGGAGCAGAGCAGGCAGGAGATCTCTTCTCGGGCTGCCAGCCACCGCCTCTGAACCCCGCGTCTGCCCCACAGGAGGGGTCAGGTCCGGCTTCAGAGTTTGGCACTAAGACCTGTAGCTGCCTTGATGCTTCCCTGGGCTTACAGGTACCCCCTCCCCTTGCCAGGACCCCAGGTCTGCACCCCAGGAGACCCACAATCCTCCTCCAGACTCAGCCTGGCTTCACAAGGGATGAGAAGAACCTCAGGGTCCCGAGCTGAGCCTAGCCCAAGGACAGTAGGGTAGAGCCTGACCTTGGGGTGCCCAGGCCAAGCAAACCACCTTCGGAAGAGACGGCGGCAGCGAAGGGGTTAGGCGCCACTGCACCCCTGCCTGACTCACCCTCCCAGCTCTAACCACTTTGGGCTATTTTTGCCAGAGAGGGGCCCCAGGCTTCCCAGCCACCACCACCCACCCCCGCCCCTGCCAGACCGCAGCCCAAGGCACGACTAGCCCTGCTCACCCAGGACTGGCATGTTGACTCAGAGACAGGCCCCCAGGGGAGCAGAGCCACGGGGCTCAAACCCACAGCCATACTCATCTCTTCCCTGGTGGTGGCTGAGCAGTTCTAGCGGGCAGCCGCCTCCAGCCTGTGCTGCTGCAGGGCTGCCCCGGGCTGCAGGGGGCGCTGCTGCCCAGAGGCACAGCAGGTCAGTCAAGTGCTGCCCCGTTTCTCTTCTGACTGACTGACTGATTGATTTTTATTCAAGGTACTATTAGAATACCCTGCGGGATATTTCTCGACCACCTTTAAGTGCTCGGCCTTGAGCAAGCTGGGAGGCAACTAACTTGGCTCCCGACGCTGGACACCTGTGACTACAGACAATTGCTTTTCTCTGCTTTCCCACTGCTGGGGCAGGCAGTGGGAAAGGCAGGGGGAGGCGGGAGACAAGGAGCCTTAAGGTTCTTGCCATTACTTCCCACTCAAGGGCCAAGAACCAAACCATGTGTGACTTCTGAGGTCACCAGGATCTGCAAGCCCTATCTCAGTAGCTTTTGTGCTGACACTTGGATTTAGCAATTCACACAAGGTAGCCTGCAACTCCAGCAAGGTCCCTAAGAGGAGAGGTTTCCTATGTCCTTCTCTCTTGGGGGCCTCCTGGATATGTCTCTCTGTGTATCTTTGGGTCTCCCTTAGCTGCTGTTTTCCCCTCCCAGTCTATCCATGTCAGGCCGTGGTACAGCCAGGTGTCAAGGGAGGATCAGGGCCTGCATTATTACCATACATGCAACTTCTTGGTGGCCCCCAGGGCTCTCCGAGCTGGCCTGTCCCAAATGCAAGGACTCACTTGTATTCCCTCTCCCTGCAGAAGCCCAGATCTGGGACAGGAGGCCGCAGGCAGGCCGACTGGGTGGCCTCAAATGGCCCACAGTGCCCTCTGCCCGACCGATTGGCCTGAGCACTGACCCGCGGGCCTGGAGGTTGGTGGGGCAGGCGGGGCCTGGAGAGGGTTGTGGGAACACACCCATTGCCTAATACCCCAAGCACGCGGCCAGCTCCAGGAAAGGGGAGGAGCGAGAACCAGAGAGACCTTGACAAGGGCTGGGGCCGTGGCTGGAGGGGGAAAGTAAGGAGCTGTCATTGCTTCAGGGAGGGAATGGAAGCTAGCTGGTCTCCTTTCCTCTCTGAGAAGGGTAGAAGGCTGCCTTCCTATCATGAGAATGAAGGGTGTAGCAGAGCCATCTAGGAAGAATACGGGGCCCTGGAGGGTGGGGTCAACAAAAGAGTGGGGGGCCCAGGAGATTGGGGGAACCAGCAACCCAGGCGGTGGCTAAAGCTGAGCACTGCCTTGGGAACCTCCTCCTCCCCTCCCTCCCTCCGTGTTTGCCTTGGCCCGGGGTCCTGGGTGACTCATCTATTGCTGAGCTGCTGATAGGGGCAGCCAGGCCCAGGGAACCCAAATTATAGGCCCTGGAGGGATGGATGCGCCTGCAGCGTGAGCTCAGCCACGCTGCCCCCTCCGCCTCTTGCCTTCTGTTGCAGCACCACAGGCCACCACCAGGAGGCACCAAAGTGTCCATAGCCCAACAGTGCTAGACTATCAAGGAAACCCTTACTTTGGCGGTTGGCTCCAATGAAGCTGTGGGATTACCCTTGCCAGAATTTTAGCCCTTTCTCTACCGGAGGCAGATACCTCCCCAGGCCAAGGAGGCAGTGCCGCCTGCTGGTGCCTCAAAGGGAAGTAGTCCCCTCTGCCACAGACTCCCAGCCCTGGTCCCCTCTCCTTGCCCACCTCAACATCAAGGTAAAGTCCTCTCCAACACCTCCCTGTACCTGTTCCGCAGGGGAAGGTTGCTACTGATTTTATGCTTCTAGCTTTTAAAGTCAGGATGGTCAAAATGAGGAAGGAAGAGGGGAAAGGGAGTGAGAGAACAGATAAGGAGATAGCTGAATATTCCAAAAGACAGAAAAACAGGTACAAAGCTGCCAGAGACTGGAGAGTGATTGAGGAGTTCACAGGAAGCTGGGGGGGAGTGGGGAGGAGCCACAGAGGGAAGAACAGTCGGTGATGAAATGGGAGGTCGAGGAAGGAACAGTCAGAACACACAGGGCCTTGTGGCACAGTAGAACTTCGGCTTTTCTTGTGAGTAAGATGGAAAAATCACAGGAATTTCTGAGTAGTGGGATGAAGTGGTCTGACTTCTGTTTTAGAAAGAATGACTGTGGCTGCGAGAAATAAGGCTAGAAGCAGGAAAGCATTGGGAAGCCATTGTGATAATGCAAGAGTTGGTGGTGACTCTGATGATGATGATGATTGTAACAGATCTTTCTTACTGGGTGGGCAGGAAGATCAGATTCCACATATATTTTGAAGACGGAAGGCAGATTTATTGATTGATTTGACATAGAGCATAAGAAAACAGATGACTCAGGAATGATTCTATGATTTCTGTCCCGAACAACTAAAAGAATGGAATTGCCGTTTATTGAGACAAGGTTGACTGAAGAAAGCAACACATGCTTGGGATGTGGACACTCTGAGGTGTTCATCTGAGTGTGAGACAGCCAAGTCCAGAGTTCAGGACCAAAGATACTAGTTCTGTAGCATGAGACTCGATAGTGAATACAGACCGAGAAACCCCAGACTGAACTGGGGTACACACTAGTGTTTGGAAACTGGGTGCGATCGTATAAGCAGCCAAGCAGTCAGGGAGGTAGGAACGGTGTTCTGGAAGCCAAGTGGGAAAGTGTCTCAAAAAGGACGGAATGCTCAGCTGTATCTGCTAGTCCTGAAAGATAGATCAGGATGAGAACTGATGGTTAGCTGTGGAGCACCATGAAAGTCACGGGTGGTTTTGATAAGGGGCTGTGGTGGGCTTACATATGTGACTGGGGTGGAGAAAGAATACAAAAGAAAGTAATGCTCGTGAGTAAAGAAATATTTCCCAGGTTTGCAGTAACAGCAGTGACATGGGACCATCTTGAGTGGTAAGTCAAGTCAAGTGAAGTTTTTGGCTTTTTTTTTTAAAGTGGAGTCTTTTTTAAAAAAAAAATATTTTATTTATTTATGTATAGAGAACTGGTGTACAGGCCAGAGGTACAGAGGCAGTGAGAGGCTTCACCAGAGACAAAGTGGGGAGCAGAACAGGCAGATCAGCAAAGTACACTGCTGAGGGGAGCAGCGGGCAGGTCAGGAGAGGTCTGCCACACCATGTGGGTCACCTCCAGGGCCGGCCGGGGATCAAGCTCACACTGAGGTGGCTGCTGCCAGTTTTCAGTGCTGTGTCCTAACCCATTGCACCACCAAGAAGGGCCCAGTTTTGGGGGTTTTTTAAATGGAAGATACTGCAGTGTATTTACAGGCTGATGGGTACAAACCAGTAGAGAGGTAAACTAAGGCAGAGATGAGGGAACAATTTATTAAATGATGATGTGTTCGAAATAGAAATTTGAGGGCCCTCCCTGGTGGCATAACAGGTTAAAGGCCAGGGCGGTGACCCCCAAGGCACAGCAGACCTCTCCTGTCTCGCCTGCTTCTCCTCTCCCCTCAGCAGAGTATTTCAGTCAATCCACCTGTCACCTATCCTGTTCCTCACTCTGTCTTTGGTGAACCCTCTTACCTACCACACCTCTGGCCAGAATGACTCCTCCAGTGACATCCCCAGGTTGACACATGCCACTGAGGATGACACAACGCGTCTATTCTTATGCCTATTCTTGTATGCATAAATAAAGACATCTTTTTTGGTAACAAAAGTCCCAAAGGTCATTATTTCTGTTTCTCTGTCAGTGTTGAGAAGATGCCCACCCCCATGCTGTTGTGGCATGCTCCCAGAGCGGGTGAGGTGACTGTCTGGGTTAACCCAGCTCTAGCATTTACTCATGTGTTAGCTGTGTGGACCTTCTCCACATATGTATGATGTCACAAGTGTCTGTGCTGAGATGGGGGCCAGGGGAGGGACATGAAGGAAGAGTTCCTGTCTGGGAGGCGGTAGAGCATGGCAGCCAGGCTGGCAGGAGCCCCAGACTCTATGCAGGGAGCAGCGACCACTTCTCCATAACAGAGGTCAGGACGGCCTTTAAACTGC